GCAGGCAGTGTGAATTCTAGCTGTCTCTTAGAAATATTAAAAAAAAATCAGCTAAAATAGGAACATCTTGCAAGTCTGATTCTGCTGTATTTCCCATCCTTCTTATACCCCAAAGAATCAGGGGGTAGTTGTCCCAATTGTTTTTGAATATTTGAGGAGTGATTCTGGTCCTCAAAATAACTTTCAGTTCGCTTTCCAATTGTAACAGCTTCTCTGTAATTCTGTCAAAATTACCAGCACCAAGATACAATCTTCTTTGCAAAAAAATGAAATGAAATAACCAGTCACAGTGCATGGCAGTCATTTGAACTATTTTTTGCCAGTCTCTGACATTTTTGGCCAGTTTTGGATTTGCTTCACAACTGAAAGACTCTCTTATCAATCACTGAAAATAATGGTTGAAAAAATGTGCCCAACAATGTGGTTGCCTCTATTTATGACAGCACTGACTTACAACCAATATTCCGGTCGATGTGTCAAGGACTACTTGCATCCAGATACACTCAATTATCTTTGTGAAAATAGCAGAGAATTCTCTACTAAATTTCAGTACACTTCTAGATTTCATCTCATATTTATACAGGTCCCAGCAAGATTTATGCAAAGTCAGCATGACTTTCACTTCCTATTCAAACTCTCATTCATCTTCTTTACACTTAACCCAAGGTGCAAAAGTATTTTCTACTAAATTTCACAACACGTAAGGACTTCATCTCCTATTTATACAGGTTCTGGCAAAATTTATGCAAAGCCAACATGACTTTCACTTCCTATTTAAACTCTTGTTCTCCTTTTTCAGGCTCAACTTGAGGTGTAAATCTTATCGTTCCAAACTTCTTCACAATGGCAATCCACGTCTTAATTCTCATCATGCTGGCTACCTTCCCCAACGGTTTGTAGTTTGGTCCATGCTAAGCTTTTTTTAGCACTCAAGAAAATGTCATATATTAACTATGGATCTTACTTTCTAACCATTACCCAACTGTGCTTTCTCTTTTTCATTAGGAGGCCTCTCCCAGGTAGTCCTGACCCAGTCAGATCCAGTGCTGAAGAAACCTGGAGAAGCCCATAAACTGACTTGTGCTGCCAGTGGATTCGATGTTAACAGCTACACTATGTATTGGATCAGACAGAAACCTGGCCAAGGGCTGGAATGGATTGTTTCCTATTATTCATCTAGTAGCAATGCTTATTCGCCAACAATCCAAGGATGATTTACTGCCTCCAAAGACAGTTCCAACTTCTATCTGCAAATGAACAACCTAAAAGCTGAGGACACAGCTGTCTATTACTGTGCAAGAGACACAGTGAAAGATCTCTTAAGGATCTCAAGCAAAAACCTTTCCTTTAAATAACTACTAAAATATCTCGAGCGGGAACAGCAGAGAACCACAAAATGAATTGTGAATCATCTGAAACAAAATCACCCAGGCAGAAAAGAAATGAAACAAAAAGGCGAAACAAATATACTCCCAAAGATATTATTACTCCATATTTATTGTGGTTGAATATCTTTCACTTATTTGTTTCTAAATATTTTGCTGTGGTTTCAGGTTCTTCTTCTGCCAGGGCCAGATGACACCTGAAAATGTCTTCCCTTCCCTCTTCAGGGATTCAGTTCAGAAAGATTCCTGGGATTTCTTCCATGAAAGGCCAAATTCTCCATTAATTGTATGGAATTTCATGTCCTGCTGTTTTTCCCAAATCAAGTTCTATTTTGAGAAGATCTGCTAGACACAGCAAAGTATAAACCAAAGGCAGGCAGTGGGAATTCTAGCTCTTTTTTAGGATTGCAAAGGAAAAAGTCAGCTAAAATAGCAGAATCTTGAAAATTGGATTCTGCTGTACTTCCCATCATTCTTATACCTCAATCAATCAGCAGGGAAGTTGTCTGAATTTTCTCCTAATATTATTCTGGTCCTCAAAATATGTTTTGGCTCCCTTTTTGTGTAATTCTGTCAAAGTCACATTTGCATTTACATTTGCATTGTTTCTTCTTTGCAAACTGTTTTCATTTCTGGATCAAGTGACTCCATCAGCTTCCAGTTGTTGTCAGACTTTCAAGCTAGAAGAGACTAGGAAGCCAAAGCCATATAGAGCAATATGGATTTTATTAGAAAGACATGGTAGTAGTGCCTTTGAAGCCTCAATGTGCTTGCCCCATCTTTCTTTTATCTTTGTGAGAACGAGGGAGGCTTTTGTCTGAGATGTTTTCTCAGGTGACACTTCTGACCCAGACTCAGGTTTCTTTTCTCCTACTGTTATTCTGGTACTGGCTCTTTCTCTTTTCCTGCAAGACCATTTCCATAGCCATCTGCAGTTGGATTACTGTAAAGTACTCTGCCTGGGACTGCTTTGGCAGATGATTTCTAATCTGTATCAGTCGAGAATGTGGATGGATAGACAGTTTGGGTGTTATAAAATTTCTAATCTATGAGTTGTCTGAACTTCCACTTCACAGTGCTGGTTATCAGCTATACATGTCTACGTGCCATAGGGCCAGTTTACCTGCATGGCTTCTTTCTCTCTGATTATTTCTTAATGCTTGGTAGATGTGGTCATGAAGGCATTCTATAGGATGGGACCTATGCAGAATGGGACCAATCTATAGAAGAAAGGATCAGATCATTGATGTGTGGCACCTTTGCTTATATTCTAATGGAAAGGATAACATTGGGTATACAATAGATCTAATAGGTTTAGGGATTCATCACAAATTTGGAGATAATGAATATTCCCAGTTATAATTTCACTTATTTGAGATTATTTTTATTTTATGGTCACTCCTGAAAGTAAGCCTCCCAAAACTTTAGGTGTTGGTATTTTTGCCCCCACAATATTCCTACTTTTTCTCTTCCCCCACATTAGGCTAAAAGGTAAACTGATTCATGCTGATATAATTGAACTATCTACAAATAAAATTTCATCAGGAACCTCACAAAGACCCAAGATTTCAATTTCTGTCCATCTCAGTTTATCAAAAGGAAGAGACAGTTGCTCATGAGCCATCCTTGTAACAAAATCAGGTTTTAAGACTGAATTTATTTTTCTACAATCAATATAGGAGGAGCTTATGCAAAACTTTATGAGACACAGTGCGGATGCTTCACTTCAAAATAAACCCATTCAGTATGAGATTCTCATTTATTTTGAAGTTCAAAGGCCTTCCTAAATGACCACCATGGCATTATGGTTCTTTGCATTTTGTTTTACAGCACTTCCAAGATGTAAGAATATTTAACAGAAAATTAGAAGATCTTTATTTGGTCGGTGATGTTGTTCACTATTTGCAATCCTTTCTCTTTTTTTCAAGGGGTCTTCTCGGAGATTCAGCTTGTAGAATCTGGGCCAGGATTGGTGAGACCTGGAAGTCAACTCAACCTAGTTTGTAAAGTCACAGGTTTCTCCATTGCTACTTCTTCATCTTATGCTTGGCATTGGATCAGGCAACCACCTGGGAAAGGTCTCGAATGGCTTGCAGCCATAAATGTCAACAGTGGAGGCAAGTCGTATGGAACCTCTGTAAAAGGCCGTGCCACCATTTCTGCAGATCAATCCAGGAACGAGTTCTCCCTCCAGCTGAATTCAGTCTTAGCTGCAGACTCATCTGTATATTTCTGTGCCCGAGAATACACATTGAGACAACCTCTATTTGGACTCTGTACAAAAAAAGAGGAAATTGTTTTCATAAAGTGTAATGCGAAGCAGATGGAGAGGAGGAGAGAGGAGGAGGAGGAGAGAAAGAGACAGAGGCAAAGATAGATAGATAGATAGATAGATAGATAGATAGATAGATAGATAGATAGATAGACAGATAGACAGATAGACAGATAGAAATATGATATAGATGTTCTGGAAGAAGATGACTAGATGATTCAATTATTAAAGAGTTACTGATCTCCATTACCATCACCACTTTCATTGTTTTGCATGCAAGGCAAATAGGAAGCTGTTTAGCCTGCAAAACTCCACCTGTCCTGTCCTTCCTCTTTGTTCTGAAAAAGATGGGAGGACACTGAATGGCCATCATTGGGAACAGGACAAAGCATTTAGGATCTTCATTACAGAGGTTTTACAAAGTGTTTGTATCTAAGTTGGTCTGTGATATTTTCTTGTCCAACTTGTTTAAATTTGTCCCAAGCAAGGGATTTGATGTGGAGGAAGGGGTGTCATTAGCTTATTCAAAGATACTCACTTTATATAAGCTTAAGATAATTTACCATACAACAGCAAATAAGCTTCAAAATCTCCTGATTTCCCCCTTTCCCTCAAAAAGGATCTAGGAATTCTATCGATGGGGCTGCTATCACTTCCCAACTTTTGCCAAAATAATTGAATGAATGTATCTATGGAGTCACCAGGAATTGACTTCACCTTCTTATATAACAGACGAAAATATGTGTAACATCATAGAAACCAGAAGGAGCTGATCTGAAAGACTTCACCGTCTTTGTTCAAGAATAAAAGCAACTTTGCCACTATTTTAAATGATTGTAGTTAGTTTCAGAAATACATAGATAAGCCCTGATCATTTTGTGTGACAAATCCTATTAAACCTGTTCTCACTCAAGTATTTCTTCTAGACCCTGGGTATCAAACACACTACATCATGTGATATGTCGTGACATATCACAACTTTTTCCCCATTGCCGGCAATGGGGTGGGCACAGTTTTAGCTTGACACATCCAGCCCATGGGCCCATATTTTGACAATCCTGTTCTAGACAGTCATGACTTACTACCAAGCTTGTGGTGAAATTGTAGTCATAAGTTTACTTGTACCCAGATACACTCCATCATCTTTGTGAAAGGTATTCTCTACTAAATTCAAATATATTTCTGGACTTCATTTCATATTTATATTAGTCCCAGCAAGATTTATGCAAAGTCAACATTACTTCCACTTCCTATTTAAACTCACAGTCACCTTCTTCAGGTTCATCTCAAAACTCATCTCTCTAAACGTCTTCACAATGGCAACCCACTTCTTAATTCTCGTCATGCTGGTTGCCTTCTCCAAAGGTTTGTAGTTTGGTCCATGTTAAGCTTTTTCTAGCATTTAAGGAAATTTCATATCTTAACTATGGATCTTACTTTCTAACCCATATCCAATTATGCTTGGTGTTTTTTCATTAGGTGGTCTCTCCCAGGTAGCTCTGACCCAGTCAGATCCAGTGCTGAAGAAACCAGGAGAATCCCATAAATTGGCTTGCGCTGTCACTGGATTCGATGTTAACAGCTATACCATGGGTTGGATCAGACAGAAACCTGGCCAAGGACTGGAATGGCTTGTAGACTATTACGATTCTAGTAGCAACGATTATTGACCAACAATCCAAGGACGATTTACTGCCTCCAAGGACAGTTCCAACTTCTATCTGCAAATGAACAATCTAAAAGCTGATGACTCGGCTGTCTATTATTGTGCAAGAGACACAGTGAAATAGATCTTAACGGATCTCATGCAAAAACCTTTCCTTTCAGTACTGAAATGTGTCAAGAGGGGACAGCAGAGAACCACAAAATGAGTTGTCTAGCATTTGAACAAAATCACTCAGGCAGAGAAGAGATGGAAATGAAAAGACAAAACAAGAATACCCCCAAATATATTATTGTTCTACACTTAGTGTGGCTGAACATCTTTCACTCAATGGTTGCAGTGGTTTCCTGCAGATTCTTCTTCCGATGCCAGATGACATCTGAAGATGTGTTCCTTTCCCTCTTTTGGAAGGATTCCTGGGATTTTTTCCATGACAAGCCATATTCTTCATTAAATGTTTTGAATTGTATGGAATTTCCTTTCCTGCTTCCCCCCAAATCAAATTCTATTTTGAGAAGATGTGCTAGATAAACTAGCAGGGGTGTCAAACTGCTGGCCCATGAGCTGGACGTGTTATTCGGAAGGTGCACCCACCCCATTGCCGGCAATGGCAAAACCATCCCGATATGTTGTGCAACGACACGTGATGTCACAAGTTTGACATGTCTGAACTAAAGGAAGGCATCATGAATTCTATCTCTCTTTTGGAATGTTAGAAAAAAAAAAGTCAGTTAAAATTACAAAATGTTGCAAGTCTGACTCAGCTATACTTCCCATACTTCTTATTACTCTAGTGAATCAAGGGGGTAATTGTCTGAATTGCTTCCGAATATTATCTGGTGATTCTGGACGTCCAAAACTGCTTCAGATGCCTTTTTCCTTTGTAACAATGATGGTGTAATTTTGTCAAAGCATTGATGGTTGCATGGCTTGGTCTTGGCGGCAAACCAAACTTATGTCTGAATCAGGTGACTCATACCTTATTTAACATCCACTTGTTAAACTCCAGCCTAGAACAGATGAGGAAACAAAACCCATACATAGAGCAACAGTATTCTCCAGCATGATTGGATGGAGAACCCACGGATGGGTTGTCTTAATCTATCTGCTCCAATTGGACTAAGTCTGAAATTGGTAACGCCCCCTCTGTGCCAAGTGCACCCCAGTTTTAGACTTAGTCGTTTTGCTCTAAGACGCGTTTTGTCTTCGCTCCTGGAGCAGAAGACTGTTTAATTCTATTTAATTACTTAGCTCAGGCTATTATTATTGTTATTTTATTATTGATTCAGAATCGATTATATCTAGAAGAAAGATCAATTATCCCAGTCTGAAGCCTATTCAGGCTGACAGACTCACAACCCTCTCCCTCTGGGGGGGGGGAAAACTTTCCCCTTGTTTGTTTTCCCTCAGTTAGGGACAGCAAGATCAAACCTTCGATTTAAGGAGCCTCGTCAGGCCTGCAGGGAGCCTTCCCAGGTACCTCAGCCCCAGCAGACAGCAGCAGGTGAGAATTTGGGCCTGTCAGGCTTTGGACAACAGCTTTTCCAGCCGGCCTAATCACATGCCACCAGCTGCTTTAGGAGCCCAGCGATTCACCCGAACGAGGGCTCGTCGCAGCTTAGACCATAGGCCTCAAGGCCTTCTTCCGGTGGCCATTTTGGGTGTGGCTGAAGCCCCCGGAGGCCATTTTGTATGTGGTTGAGGCCCTCAGCGGCCATTTTGTGAGTGGCGGAAGTCACTGGCGGCCATTTTGTGTGGGGCTGAAGCCTCGGCGGCCATTTTGTTTGTGGCTGAGGCCCTCGGCGGCCATTTTGAGTGGGGCTGAAGCCTTGGTGGCCATTTTGTTTGTGGCTGAAGCCTCGGCGGCCATTTTGTTTGTAACTGAAGTCATCGGCGGCCATTTTGTGTGTGGCTGAAGCCCTCGGAGGCCCTTTTTGTGCGTGGCTAAAGCCCTCGGCGGCCATTTTGTGTGTGACTGGGACCCAGACTGCCTGGAACTTTCTCCTGAAGGCAGTATTCGATCATCGGTGGCCAGCTCTTCGAGAGAGCAGCTTCGACCGGGGAGGGCCTGATCGATCCCAAGTGATCGGGGTGCCCATCAATTCCCTGCCCTCCCCCCTCTTGGGCTGAATTATCTTTGTAGACTCCCTTGGTGAAGTACAGCACCAAGGGGGGGCGTTTTGCCAAGGTTGAGACCAGAGCAACTCATCATGGCAGAGAGAGGCAGCGAGCCGGCCAAGAGGAGTCTCCAATCAGAGGCAAGTGGAAAGAGCACCACGAAGCGAGCCCGGCCAAGCAGGGAGCCACAGAGGGAGGAAGGGTGCCAAAGACTGAGAGCGGTCTCCCCAGATCTGGCAGGCACGATGGGAAGGTCTATTTTTGAGCCCCTTTCTTCACATAGTGCCTCAGCCCCAGGGGCTTGGTCTCCCCCCAGGGGAATTCCTGAGTCAGATTCAAACCTAACAGTGGCTTCAGGGAGGTGTATAACCGGTCAGGACACCTCAGGGCCCCAGGCCACATTCACCCCCACTGCATCAGGGCTTCGCCCTCCTGAGAACCAGGCCCTGAACTCGAACTTCCTCCAGTCCATGATAGCCCAGGCTGTGGCTCAATTTATGGCCTCCAACACCCCACAGCCACCCCCCCAGACCACAAATCATGCACAATCTCCGGACTGGATGGATGATCCCACATCAGATCTGGAATCTACAGGAGCTGAACAACCTGGCCTGATTTTGTCTGATGACGAGGGCCTCGCCCCATCCGAACCCACCCCTCCTGTCGGTCTCTTTGACCATTCCTTCTTCAATTCCCTGCTACTCAAGGCCTGCACTACTGCAAACCTCGCTCAAGAACAGGAGACCCCACCAACATCCCAGGGTCCCCATGCCATATACACTGAGCCCTCTGTCTCACAGAATCATATTCCCTGCCCTCCCCTTTTTCTAAATATAGTCCAGAAACAATAGGAGAACCTAGGATCCCCCTCGAGCCCTGGTGCAGTAGAGAGAACATTGTTCAATGTTGCTCCTTCCCTGTCCTCCCTTTTGGAGATTCCTGAGATTGATGAGCCCTTGAACTCATTGTTTCCCAAGTCCAACATCCCTGGGGACATAAATGAGGCACTAAGGGCAGAGGACAAGAAGATCTAGTCCGCCCTATGCAGAGCCCACCAGGCATCAGCCTGGGCAACGAGGGCAGCAACCTCCATGGCCTTCTTTGCCAGGGCTTCGGTCCTGTGGTTACGGGAGCTCCAGGACATGATCCCTCTGGACCAGCTCAGAGCCCACCAGAATCTGGGTAAGTTGGTGGCCACGTCCCAGTATCTAGTCGATACCTCCTTACACACGGCCAGATACACTGCCCGGACCATCGCGGCAGACATTTCAGCACGAAGGCTCCTCTGGCTCAGAAACTGGCGAGCAGACACCAAGGCCAAGTGGCATCTGGCCTCTAAACCTTACACAGGTGGACATCTCTTTGGTAAGGCGCTAGAGCCATACCTAACCGAAGGTAAGGATAAACGCAAGACCTTGGTTAATACATCAAGGAGGGGAGATAGACGTTGGGGGAACTTGTCACAGAGTAACTACTGAGGGCAGCCCTTTCGGCCAGCGCCATCCTGGGACTGGGCCCAGGCTTCTCGCCCCTCCTTTCAGAGACAGGAACGACAACAAGATCGCTCAGCATACAGAGGCAGATCACAGTTCCAGACCAAGCGGTCCTTTCGAGGCACAGGGAGCCGCTCCTTCAAGCGAGGCAAGTGAACCTGCAGCCTAACCTCCCATAGGAGGCCGGCTGGCCCTCTATTCCAGCATTTGGGCGGCCACTACTACGGATGCATGGGTGTTAGACATTGTCTCCCAAGGTCTGAGACTAGAATTTTGTTCCCATCCACCTGACAGGTTCCGCTCTTGTCCTATTTCAACGAACAGGGCCAGAGCTGAACTTATGTCAGAGGCAATAGCCCACTTATTGCAGATACAAGCAATTGAACCAGTTCCACAAGAACAAGAAGGACGAGGGTTTTACTCAAACCTCTTCGTCATTTCCAAGACTTCAGGGGGCTGGAGGGCAATCTTGGACTTAAAAGGTCTAAACTTCTACTTGAAGTATAAAAAATTTAAGATGCAATCACTTCAATCAATCCTGGCTAGCGTCAGGCGAGGTGACTTTCTTACCTCCATAGACCTGACTGAGGCATATTTGCACATTCCCATTTTTCCTGGACACCACAAATTCCTCAGATTCAGTTATGCCCGATGCCACTACCAGTACAGAGCCCTTCCATTTGGCCTCTCATCTGCACCGAGAGTATTTACAAAGGTACTGGCAGTGATTGCAGCCCACCTTAGACAAATTCCCATCAGAGTTCAATGCTATTTAGATGACATTCTAATTCAGTCATCATCATGGCAAAGTGCCCAAGCAGACCTCGCCCTAGCCATCAAAGTTTTGCAGGAGCATGGTTTTTCTGTTAATTTCCAGGAAAGTCATACTGTACCAACAACTCGGCTCCTCCATTTGGGTGCAGTTATAGACACAGACAACTGCACGGTCTACCTATCTCAGGACCGACGGAACTCTATCCAGACTCTTCTACGTCGGATCCGAAGGGACAGAGTAGTCACAACTACTAGGGAAGATGGTGTCCTGCATGCAAATTGCGCCATGGGCACGTCTCCATGCCAGAGAATTACAGTGGCTTCTCCTTCCATTCCAGAGACTTCATACCAGCACATCCCACCAGAAGGTCCGAGTTCCACAGTCGGTGTTGAACTCCCTTTGTTGGTGGGACTCTCCGGCACTGTCACGGGGAGCAGAATTCAAAGAACCAGACAGGATCACCATCACCACAGACGCAAGCCTATTTGGGTGGGGGGCACACCTCCATACACACTGGGCCCAAGGTCAGTGGTCCAGGCAGAATCTAAAGAACAATATAAACTGGCTGGAACTAAGAGCCATACACATGGCCCTAAAGAGATTCAGCAGCTTAGTACAGGGCCAGCACGTCCTGGTCTTAACCGACAACATCACAGCCAAGGCCCATATCAACAGACAGGGGGGAACAAGGTCCAAGCCTCTCATGCAGGAGGCCAGATTGCTGGGGTCTTGGGCGGAAATGAATCTTGCCTCCATCAGGGCGGAGCACATATCCAGAGTGGCCAACCAGCAGGCGGACTCACTGAGCAGAGCCACCGTGGACCATTCCGAATGGCAGCTGAATCCGGAGATCTTCAGAGAGATCGTGGACAGGTTTGGTTCCCCAACCCTAGATCTGTTTGCCTCCCCAGCCAACTCACAGCTTCCCAGGTTCCTTTCCAGGTTCCCGTCTCCATCAGCGGAGGGAACAGATGCACTCCGCAGTCCCTGGCCCAGGGAACTGCTCTATGCCTTTCCTCCCCTGCCCCTTCTACCTGCCACGATCAGGAAGATCCTTCGCGAACAAGCAGAGGTCCTCCTGGTCGCCCCGCATTGGCCGAGACGATTTTGGTTCGCCGACCTGATGGAGCTCTCCGCATCCCCTCCATGGAGGATTCCAACCAATCGGATCTCCCTCATTCAGGGGGAGTTACATCATCTGGACCCTCAATGGCTCCAGTTAACCGTCTGGCACTTGAGAGGCAGGCCTTAGGCCTAGACGCATATTCGTCAAGGGTCATAGCCATGATCCAGCAATCCAGGCGACCCTTGACAAATAGAATATACGATGCCATGTGGAAAAGCTTCTGTAATTGGTGTTTAGCTCACAAAATTGAACTCTTACAGGCTGCAGTGCCAGTTATCTTGGAGTCCCTGATGGGTGGTCTGGACAAAGGGCTTTCCACAAGCACCATCCGTAGGCAGGTAGCAGCACTTGCCACAGTTATTTCCTGTGGCAAGGAATCCTTAACACAGCACCCTATGATACGCTCCTTCCTAAAGGGAGCTAACAATGCCAGACCACCAACGGTACATAGGTATCCCTCCTGGGACCTTCATCAGGTTCTACAGGCTCTTGTCTCACCACCCTTTGAGCCTATTGACACTTGTTTGCTCAAACAATTATCAATGAAGGTAGCATTTCTGGTTGCTATAACTTCAGCCAGAAGGATCTCTGAGCTGGCTACCCTGTCAGTAAGAAAGGACCTGTGTATTTTCCATATGGACAGGGTTACTCTCAGGTTAGATCCCTCTTTCGTGCCCAAGGTCAACTCCTTGTATCATAAGTCCCAGGACATAGTTTTGCCGGACTTCTGTCCGAACCCATCTAATGACACAGAGGCTCAGTGGAACAGATTGGATGTTCGCAGGGCCTTATATTGCTATATACAGAGGACCTCATCCTTCCGCAAGACTGAGGCTCTGTTTGTGTCATTTCACCCTTCGTCGTTAGGACAAAAGGTTTCCTCACCCACTATAGGCAGGTGGATTAGAGCTTGTATTTCTTTGGCATACCAGACTCAGTCACTTCAAGCTCCCAGCCATATCACGGCCCATTCCACCAGGGGCGCAGCCACT